GGGCGGGGCCATCCAGAGGTGGTATTTGCCAGTTCTCTGAACTACTTAAAATTTCCATTACCGGTTCTCCAGAACTGGTCAGAACCTGCTGAATACCACCTCTGGGTCCTTGGTGCTCTCTAAGCTTGGTGGCTTTCTTGCAGATGTTCCATTACCCAACTAGGTAACATCATCAGGTCTAGAAGCGGGTGAGATTTGGTTTCTTTTATACACCACTGGTATCAAGCATGAAACACTTCTGAGCCATTTGAACCTTTATCGCTACTCCACTTGCCAACAAACAAGGAGGGAAGGGTGAGAAAGACTGCAGATGATCCAGGAATAGACTGTGTGAGCCAAGTAGTCACCAAGGTCACTCCTGCAGGTGCCTGATAAAGGAACTGTTCTCAAAACAAAGGACTGTTCTCAAAACAAACTGTTCTCAAAACAAATTCTTAATTGGCCAGCGTGATCTCTCTGGGTGGGGACAAGAGGAAAGTAATGTTTAACTATGTAGCATTGTGAGGAGAAACCACAGAGCTGGTTTTAATTCTTCAGTACCGAAATGGTGTATCATTTAAAGTTTTACTTTTGGGATTTTAAAATGCCAAAGAATGGCCTGCTTTTCTTGGGTTCTCTGGTCAAGTGACAAGTGACTTGCCCTGTGAGTATGGGTAGGAGTAGTCTTGATTGTTCCTTGATTAGACTGTTGTTACCTTGTTGGTCTGAGTTGGTAGTTTCTTGATTGGATTATGGTTTCCATGAGTTAAGACGAACTTTAGCCTGAATCCTGCAAGTTCTAGTCCAACATCTTAGTTACTATACCCATAATAGTTTGAATTAACAATCCCCCCCCCCTTCAACTTAATCAGCCTTATATTGTTACATGTAGTGATTGGCTGAATGTTATGTAGTCTTTGACTTTATTTTTTTTATTAATGCAAACATGCAGTTCAGACTTTCAAAATGAAGGCAGTTTGAAGAAATCACCAAATCAAATAACTTTCTAAAGGAAGCAGATTTGGGTCAAGCGTAAATACATTTGAATCAATTCAACAAGTTGATCAGATGGCTTCCCTGTTGCTAGGAATCAAAACTTTCTTATCTGAATATCTTATATTTAGAAGTTAGTGTGTCTTTTTCCCTGTCTTTTAGCTATACAATGAACTTTGCTACCTGAACAAGCCTTAAGAAAAGCATCAAAAGTCAAGAAATTGTGGGATGGAAACTGTAAGCTAACAAGGTCAATAGCCTACAAGAAGAACTTGTATAAAATGTTTTATAGATAGCATCTACCACCAGCAAGACTAGCAAAGATGTATGAAAATTTATCAGCTAAATGTTGGAAATGATATCAGATACCAGATTCATATTACCATATGTGGTGGACATGCTCAAAGGCGAAAAAATATTGGACTAAAATACATACTTGGTTAGAAAAAATGATAAAGCAACATATAGATTTGAAACCAGAGATATTCTCGTATAACAGTATAATAAAGGGAAATATATATTTAATTTTACATGTATTAACAATAGCAAGAATTGTATTTGCACAATAATGGAAAAATGAAAAGATCCCTACCGATGAAAGTGTTATTAAAAAAGTATTAGAATGCACTGAGATGGACAGATTAACACTTAGAAAAGGAAGAAACAGAATACTTTTCAATATAGGACTTGTGTTTTACCAATGATTAATGATTACCAAAACATTAATTAATGATTACCAAAGATATGGAACTTTTTATGTGTATTAAAAAAAGTATATACTTTTTAAATACACATAAAAAGTTCCATATCTCTCTGAACAGCATGTTGTCTGGTCACAATTAGTTTTAAGTAGAAATGTAACATTAATCAACGTTAATCATAATAATCATAATAAACATATCAGTAAGTCAAGCCTACAAGCAATTGTAACTTCAGCTTGCAAGGGGCTTCAAAATATGACTTATTTCTCCTTGCTTCCTACACTCACTTTATTATTTTGTTTTGTTTTGAAAAGATGGCAAACAAAATATTTGCATATGGAATATTATTTGGCTCTGGGAATTGAAAGCAATTTAATTTCCCCCTAGAATGCTTCTAGAAACAAATTTCTTAACTCACCAAGTCATCTGAAAATTCTATGAAGGTTGCAGTTCCTTGGGTAAAGAAATCAAAACCAAACAATAGCTACTGTAGAGAGAGAGATCTCTTTGATACTAGAAGAACATTGTGACAATCGATCATGCATCTAATATATCAAATTGAAACACAATTTTATTGAGACCCTACACCAGCATGAGTGGGTACAGTCACAAGGAAGAAATAAAAATTTATTAACAGATAGGAAGTATAAACCTAGGGCTCAGTGGCTGAGATGCAGGGTTTGTCGATCAGAAAGGTTGGCATTTCAGCGGTTCAAATCCTTAGCACCGTGTAACGGAGTGAGCTCCCATTCCTTGCTCCAGCTTCTGCCAACCTAGCAGTTTGAAAGCACATAAAAAATGCAAGTTGAAAAATAGGGACCACCTTTGATTGGAAGGTAACAGTGTTCCGTGCCACCTTTGGCATTTAGTCATGCTGGTCATATGACCATGGAGACGTCTTCGGACAGCACTGGCTCTTTGGCTTTGTAACAGAGATGAGCACCACCCCCTAGAGCTGGAAATGACTAGCATGTATTATGTGCGAGGGGAACCTTTACTTTTGCCTATGAAGTATAAACAATCACCATATTTTTTTCATCTGTAAGACACCCCCCATGTATAGAACACACCCCCACACACACTTTTCTTACCCAAAATTCAGAAATCTGGAATGCCACCAGGTTCAAGTGCTGGTAGATGCCAGCCTTCCCTCCGGTGGGCCTGGGCAACTGCTGAAGAGAGACGGGCCTGTTTCAATGCCTGGCACCCAAATGCCCTTTCTTTTCCCCCAAGCATTTATTTGCTAACCTGAGGAGGAGCAGGGAGAAGAAAGATGGAAAGCAGCCTCCTCCTTCCCTCATGCCAGCTGCTCCGTTTCTAGGGGTGGGCTGCTGAGGGTCTGCAGGGGTTCAGGGGAGCCCTAGCTAAGATTCTGTGGGTTCACTTTTGGCTGGTCTCACCCACTCCACCCTCCCCCTCCCAAGAGTCCCCATACAGCCTAGGTAAGTGTAGGGCATGTGTGGAGGCTCAGGGAAGGTGAAAATCAGGCCTCCCGGAAGTTCAGGAAGGCTGGAAATGGGCCTGTTTCCAGCTTCCAAAGAGCCTCCAGAGCCTGACGGAGGCTGTTTTCATCCTCCCGGAGGCTCAAGGAAAGCCACCAAAGGCCGGGGAGGGCAAAAATCCCCCCCCTCATCATTGGCAGAGAACCCTTTGCTAAATTTTTTGAAGCCCATCTCTGTCCCCATTTCTCCATTGCAGCGCAGCACCCAGGATCCAGTTTGATAGCGGAGGGTGGGGGGAGTAATTTAACAACTGGTTCGCCCAGGGCCAGGTTGGCCATCATGGGAGGCTCATCCAGCATGTGTGGCAGAGCTGGAGGATCAGGATGGGCCACACTTTCTTCTGTCTGCCCCCCCTCCATGTATAAGACACCCCTCCGTTTTCAAGTAAATTCTTTTAAGAAAAAGTAGTGGCTTATACACAGAAAAAATATGGCATATATAAAAGCTGTGTGCCATGTGTTGTTGTTGTTAATTGAGAAGTCATATCTGATCCATCATGGCCACATGGACAACATTCCTCCAAGCCTTCCTGTCCTCTACCATCTTCTGGAGTCCATTTAAGCTCATGCCGACTGCTTCAGTGACTCCATCCAGCCACTTCATTCTTCTGTTGTCCCCTTCTTTTTTCTCTTCCCAGCATTAGGCTCTTCTCCAGTGAGTCCTTCTTTCTCATGATGTGGCCAAAGTATTTGAGTTTCATCTTCAGAATCTGGCCTTCTAAATAGCAGCCAGGGTTGATCTCCTCTAGGACTGACCGGTTGGATCGCCTTGCAGTCCATGGGATTTGCAGGAGTCTTCTCCAGCACCAGATTTCAAAGGCCTCAAATATTAAAAATACATGTAAGAAACAGAAAAGTTATAAATAATTGAACAATCTAAAAACAGTTGTGGGGATATTAAAAGCTTGTAGGGGAAGCATTACAAATTTGGATGCATTTAGGATGTGAGTGATGGGTTCACCCTCCATATAGGAATTACTTCTATGTGATGGAAAGACTAATCCATAGGATCAAGGTTTCATCACGGATTTAATCAATTGGCCTGAGTGACTATTCCTATTTGCAATTGTTTTCTCCCTCTTTTTTATTTTTCTGCACATTGAGCATAGAAATAATTCTAAATAGAAGCTAGAGAAGGCTGGTTCCCTTGCGTGAAGCTGGTAGAAGAAGCTGGTTCCCACCTGGGATACTGCTGGCAGAATATGGTCACCCTTGGCTGAAGTTTGCTGCAGTACATGCATACATCTTGAAGGCCACAGAGTTCCTCACCTGGGAGGATGCAAAAGTCAAGCCCATTGATCCAAGTTTTTGACTGTTGAGCAGATCTTGCTGTTCTGACCAAGGCTCCCCGAGACCATAATTAAGCACACGCTTAGTCCAAACAACTCTTGTTTTATTTCAACAGCTGGGAATTATGTTCATTCCTGTAATGTGTCCCAAACAGTCCCTCAAGATAAGCACCCACCTTTATCTCCTTTGAATTGCTGCCAACAACTAGAGTGCCAAATGAACTGTAAAAAACTAACTGAAATACAAAATCCACACAGAGCTTCAAGGTTTAATCTGAACAGAGCAAACAACTTTGCTTCCTGCAAAGGTTTCTCTACTTTTACACTTCCTTTATACCTTAGGGGAGGGGCAATCACCTCCAAGCCTTTCTCCTGAGTCGCCCCTTTTGTCTCAGCAGCTCTTGCCTTCTAGCAGTTCTGCGCATATGTGCACTGGGAACAGGCTCCCCTTGTTCCTCTGCCTTGCTACTGCCAGACTCTGGAGGCTCTGGAGTCAGCACACAACTCCCAGATGGTCCTGGCCCCATCTCTGCATCAGATGCAGGACCCTTGTCCGAGTCCTCCCCAGACTTCTGGACTGGTCCCTGTTGTCCCTCACTGTCCGATTCCGCTGCTGTCTGCACAAGCTGCCGACGAACCACAACACTTGCCAGACAGGAATGATAAATAGTGGCAGAACAAGCTAAAGTTAGAAAACACCAGCAATCTAAATTGGGTTGGGGCTCTGAGTCGGAGATTGAAAAAGATGATCCTTTTCCCTTTTGGGATTGCAACATGTTTTTTTTTGCACAATGCTAGATGGGTAATGGGTTTGTATGTTGCAAGCAGAGGTTGGTTTTTCAGCAGGTTCTGACCAGTTCTGGAGAACCAGTAGTGGAAATTTTGAATAGTTTGGAGAACCGGCAAATCCCACCTCTGACTGGCCCCGCCCAGGGGTGGGATTCAATTTTTTAAACAACCGGTTCTGTGGGCGTGGCTTAGTTGGTGGGTGTGGCTTGGTGGTCATGTGATTGGGCGGCATGGCCAACTCGATGTCACTCATGTCAAGGGGTGCTTCTCCTTGCCTGGCCTCTCATGACAGTGGGGATGCTGCAATGGTCACCAGTGTGAAAAATGTTCATAAGCCACTTTTTTTCAGTGCCATTGTAACTTTGAATGGTCACTAAATGAACCATTGTAAGTCAAGGATTATCTGTACAAAAATACAAAAAAGCTTCTTTGCTTGCAAAAAGCTGCCCTAAGTACCGATCATTAAATTAAAAATGCCTGCAAACCGAGTTACAAATCAGGCAGGGTGCCAGAGCACCCTGAGGAATTAAAATAGTTAAAATGCAGTGATAACTGCCAGCAGCCAACTCTTTACTGAAACCCTTTAGCAGAGAGGTCATTTAAGCTCTCCAGAAAGGACACACCCAGGAAAGCAATCCTTACATCCACCTCTGACTGTCCTGCCCCGCCTATTCTCTGCCCAGCTGATCGGCTGGGTCTTCTTTGGTTGCCCTCCACAGGAGAACGGAGCTGGAAAACAGGTTAGTGGGGTGGGGAGGGAATGGGGATCTTGCAGTATCCCCCCCCTGCCACGCCACACCCACCAAGCCACACCCACAGAACTGGTAGTAAAATATTTTGAATCTCACCATTGTGTATTATCATATATTATCTATATAATCTTAGTTGTTTAACAAGTCCAACGGCATTGAATTTTATTTTTCCTTATTAATTAGGGGGGGAAAGTAGAACAGTCACCTTAAAGTTTATCGTTAACCCTAACCCTAACCCTCATCATTCTGAAATTGCTTTCGTCCTGGAGAACCTCAGGCTTAAATAAATAAATAAACAAATAAATAAACAAATAATAAAAAACATAAATAAATACATAAAATAAAAAAGTAAAATAAGTCTCTCTCACATTGGGGTGGGGAAGGAATGGGGATTTTGCAGTAACCTTCTCCCAGGAGTGGGGAGGGAATAGAGATTTTGCAGTATCCTTCCCCTGCCACACCCACCAAGCCACGCCCACCAAGCCACGCCCACATAACGGGTAGTAAAAATTTGAATCCCACCACTGGTAGCAATCCTTGTATTGATTGGGCAAACACAAGCGCTATGGCTGACTTCTCAACCGAGTCGGAAGATGCTACGGGTGCCCTTTCCATTAAACGGTTCCTGTTTTATCAGAATAATAGTGTGCCGTGAGAAATCGTACATCTAACAGAGACCATTTCCAGTCTATTTAGCTTTGGCCAAAAAGGCTCATGTGAGAAGAACTTTGCCAGTCTGACTATTTATACATAGCCCACTGCTGTTTTGAACAATTATCCACTCGCTGACATGATATGTTTATTGTTCCATTAATAAAGCAGTAAATTATGGGTTGGCAGTGAGGTCCCAGCACATTGTTGAAAGAGAAATACACCAGAGGATGAATAATTTGCAAATGGTTTAGATTTATTAGGCAGCATTGTATTCCGTAGATTAAGGACGCACAAATTTTGCTTCTTACTGACATGACATAGAGACATGGGATGAGTAACCCCTCCAAGTGGGATTTTACTTCACTTTCTGATTTTTTTTTTCTGACCCTTGAATTTACTCTATTTCAGTTTGGAATAACCTAGCATTCAAGCCTACATCAGAAGGCAGTTGGAAGGAGCACTGATGGTTTTCTAGCAGGTGTTTTATTTCTAACAGGACTACTAGATTCCGTAACAGCTTTGTTCCCTTTGCCATCCATCTGGTAAATGCACAAGAGTCATTTTTCTCATATGCATAATTCTGTATTTATTTACTCTGTTATATTCTGTAGTGTATATTGGAGGTGGTAATCCTCTGAGAGCTGTATGCAATGAAATTTCACTTTAGTGCACATTCAAAGTGGCAATAAAGTTATTGTTCTATTCTGTTTCTATTCTGTTCTGTTCTGTTCTGTTTCTATTTTGTTCTATTCTGTATTATGTTGTTCTGTTCTATTTTTGTTCTGTTCTATTCTATTCATTTTATTCTGTTTCTATTCTGCTTCTGTTCCTTATTCTCCTCTTCTTTTCTCTCCTCTCCTTCATGTCTTCTCTCCTCCTTTCTCCTCTCCTTTTTTCCTTTTATGGCATAAAAGTTTGCTTATTATGCAGCTGAAAATTTGGAGTAGAAGATCTGCAGGTGCCAAAAAAGCCAACACAGTCCTAGCCTGCATTAACAGAGGGATAGAATCAAAATCACATGAACTGTTAATACCATGCATAGAAAGGCAACAAAGGGGAGTGGATGGTAAAACAGTTGCTGGAATTAGGTATGCCTAGTTTAATAAAAAGAAAGAGTAGGGGTGACATGATAGCAGTGTTCCAATATCTGAGGGGCCCCACAAAGAAGAGGGAGTCAAGCTATTTTCCAAAGCACCTGAAGGCAGGACAAGAAGCAACAGATGGAAACTAACCAAGGAGAGAAGCAACCTAGAACTAAGGAGAAATTTCCTAACACCAAGAACAAATAATCAGTGGAACAACTTGCCTCCAGAAGTTGTAAATGCTCCACCACTGGAAGTGTTTAAGAAGAGACTGTCAGTCATTTGTCTGAAATGGTATAGGATTTTTTTTTATCTGAGCAGGGGTTGGACTAGAAGACCTCCAAGGTCCCTTTCAACTCTGTTATTCTATTATATTAATACCTCCATGCTCCCTTTTATCCCTATGATTTTAAGTTTTCATTCCTGGCTGGATGAATGAACATGTCCATTGCAACACTGTGAAATGCATCCAATGCAGCAAATGTTTGTCTGTGCATCCTGGCTACTTTTGAGGAACTAAAAGAGGGTTTTTTTTGTCAACAATTAAGCTTTTTTATTCATTTTATGAGTTAATAGGGTTCAATTACTGTTTCTGAAATGCCTGCTTCTTGCATATGTCTCCAGAGCTTTGACGAGGTTGTGAAGAAAGCCTAATGAATGGTTGAATGGTTATATTGATACCCTAGTAATTAGTGAATGTGTAATTAATGTACAGCTGCAGCAAGCTCCTGTCAATGACCCTATAATGTGCAAGAGCAAAAACAAGGGGAAAAAAAAAGAAATTATGGGCTTCATTAGGGATTACAGCTTTTTTTTCCTATTTTTTACATTTTTAGGTCTGCATCTTGGTTTAATTAGAAGTAAGAAAATTAATTCCTCTCAAAATCATTATGCAACATGGTAACATTGATTAAAGTCATCATGGACAAGAAAAGTGATCAGTTTCAAGACAGTTATTCTTTCTTTCTTTCTTTCTTTCTTTCTTTCTTTCTTTCTTTCTTTCTTTCTTTCTTTCT